GTGGGCTCCATGGCGAACAAGGCTGGGCCCTTGTCAGAGAGAAAACACCTTTCCTCTGGGATGGCGGCTAGGAAAAAAGCCGAGAGTTTGCCTCCTGCGACTGGCGAGGCTGGCTCACATGGAGTTAGGCCGAGGTCAGATGGATCTTGTGGGGATCTTGTGGCTCATCTTTTGCAGGCAGTCAAAAGAGTTATTATTAATTAAAAGGCAGCAATGCCAGGTAGGCTCTGAAAGCCAAGGCATTCTTTGTACCCTCGTCTCTGGCACATGTCAGGTAATTATGACATTAGGAGAGGGGCAGTGCTGCTGGTGAAGTGGTCAGGTGCAAGTGTGGCCCCACACTATGAGGACCAGTTGGCTGGGCTGGGCTGGGCTGAGAATTGGCTCACCCTCATTCCCAGGCCACAGCATCTGTCCACTCTAGCTCGCTGGCTAAGCTTGACTCCTGGCTTTCACCTTCATCTCCTCGGGCTCTCTGAGCTCTGCTTGACACAGACCACCTGTTGTCCTGACCCTGCCCTGGCCTGACTGAGGTAGGGAAAGGGCGGAATGATGATGATGGTGATGCTGACTAACATCACCACTGGGATATGCCAGGTACTATGCTAGGAACTACTCAGTGATTCACCTGGTTTCCACAACAATTCAAAATGTAGGTGCCATAGCTAGCATCACCTTCCATTCCAGCTAAGGAAAGCTGAAGTTGGAGATGTGGTGAAGATTCAGGGGGAGGAGAATTTGAACCAGGAAGTCAGGATGTGTTCTTCCTAACCAAACACTTCACTCATCCAAAATGAGTTGGCAATTTTTTACAAAGCACTGGTGCTAGGAAATAGACGAGAAGTCCACAAAGTCTAGAATACTGAGGAGAAAATGATCAGCTCAGTCCAGGCACAGTGGGTCAGCTGCTCCTGTCTGTAGGGAGCACTGCTGGATGGATGGACTTCCCTTTGGTCCCAGAGCAGATGCTCCCCACACGTTTTGCACTTGTGCTTTGTAAATCTAATCTTCTCTGTTCTTTGTCAGGGCGGTGTGTTATTCAGATACTTATGAAGGACTGGGGGGAGAATTTTCCAGCCCTGGAGGGTCAGCATCTAGGCTGTGTGTAATCTTGTTGGGCCAGATTCATTCTTTTGTGTCTGTGTGAGTCAGGGATCATGTGAGGCAGCCCCATGTGGATTTTTTTTCCAGTTTAGATCCAGGAAGTGCAGAGAAAGCACTCAATGTCCTCTAGGTCCCTCTAGGGCAGACTGTTACCCTGGACAATGTCACCATGGTGCCTCCACCCCAGCATGGTACCCTGGCATCAAGCAGGAACAGAGAACTGCAGATCCGTACTGAGATCAGCCCGGTGTGTGCAGTCAGACAGGCCCAGACTCAGATCTTGGCTCCGCCTCTTAGCTGGGTGGTCTTGGGCAAGTTGTTTAATCTCTCAGAGCCTCAGTTCTATCATCTGTTAAATGGGGATGGCACCTTGCTTGCTGAAAATCCTCACCACTGGATGCTGAGCAAATAATACAAGAAGCTGAGTTCTATGAAGAAAAACATGGCGCCAGGATTGGAGGAACACTCATTAACAACCCGCGATATGCAGATGATACAATCTTGCTTGCTGAAAGTGAAGAGGACTTGAAACATTTACTGATGCAGATCAAAGAGCACAGCCTTCGGTATGGATTACATCTCAATATAAAGAAAACAAAAATCCTCACCACTGGACTAATAAACAACATTCTTATCAATGGAGAAAAGATTGAAGTTGTCAAGGACTTCATTCTTCTTGGATCAACTATCAACACTCGCAGAAGCAGCAGTCAAGAGATTAGACGACGTATTGCATTGGGCAAATCTGCTGCACAGGAACTTTTTAAAGTATTGAAGAGCAGAGATGTCAGCTTGAGGACTAAGGTGCGCCTGACCCAAGCCATGGTATTTTTAATAACCTCATATGGATGCGAAAGATGGACAGTGAATAAGGAAGATCGTAGAAGAATTGATGCCTTTGGGTTGTGGTGTTGGAGGAGAATACTGAAAGTGCCATGGACTGCCAAAAGAATCAATAGATCTGTTTTGGAAGAAGTACAGCCAGAGTGCTCCTTGGAGGCCAAGATGGCTAAGCTTCATCTCTCATACTTTGGACATATTGTCCGGAGGGAACAGTCGCTGGAGAAGGATGTCGTGCTGGGTAAGGTGGAGGGTCAGAGAAAAAGAGGAAGACCCCCAACGAGATGGATCAGCCAGGTGGCATCATTGATGGCGTCAAGTGTGGCAGCGGTAGTAAGGTTGGCCCAGGATCGGACATTATTTCGTTCTGCTTTGCATGGGTTCGCTATGAGTCGGTTCCGACTCAATGACACCTGACAACAACAACAACAACCACCCCACCAAGGGAGTGTTGGAGAGAAACAGGAAGTGGGTGCAGAAAGAACGGGACAGAGAAACAGAGGGAGGAGACACAGGCAAAAGAAAAAAAGGGAGCAGATGTACACAAGCCAACATAAAATAAATACAGGAAAGAAGCAGAGAGAGGTGCTGGATGTAAGTCTAGAAGCTTCTAGAACTGGCTGGCTGGGGAACTTGTAACAACTGCCCACCCCCATCTCAGCTGCAGCTCTTGAGGCTCAATGTTCAGGACCCCTTTTTGCTTGTCTTTCCATTTTCCCAGGCCAGTCCTCTCCCACCCCGCTGTCAAGCCATCCCTGCAGCCCAGTGGTCCTCAAAGTGTGCCGCACCAGCAGCATCCCTGTTACTAAGAAACTTGTTAGAAATGCAGATTCTGAATGAGGAACTATGGAGATGGACCAGCACTCTGGCCTAACAAGCCCTAAGATGATTCTGTTGCCTTTAAGGTTTGATGTGGGATAAGCACAGGACTGTTAACCAAAAGGACAGTGGCTCAAACACACCCACTGCTCCTTGGAAACTTTGTACAGAATCGCTATGAGTCGGGACCAACTTAACATCAACAATAAAACACTGCATCCATTCATTCACCTGTTCACTCATTCATCATTCAGCAAGGACCTCCTGACCATCTTACTGTTTCCCTCTAGGTTATCGGAAAAGCAGACACAAAAGACCCGTTCCTGACCTCCAGGAGGTTACAATTCAGTCGTCTTTCTAAATGACCCTGGTGGCACCGTGGTCAGTGTGGAAGGTTAATGGTTCCAATCCTCCAGCAGCTCTCTGGGAGACCGTGTAAAGATTTAGCCTTGGATATCTATGTGGGTAGTTCTACGGTGTCCTGTAGGTTCACGTGAAGTGCGAATTGCCTGAGCAATGAGTTGTTTTGTTTTTTTTTAATGTCTTTGCAGTGATGTGGAGCCATGAGTTGTACAAGACAGGTGCCTGAGAATGCTGTGTCAGCCGTGATCCAGGCTAGGACAGGGAGGGCAGGAGGTCATCAGTGCCTACCCCATTGACCCCAGGCCCTTCGTCATTAAAGAGCTTACTTCTGCAGGGCAGGGCAGTTGGCTGTGGTTGGGAGGCTCATCCTGACATCGGAGGAGAACCTGCTCAGGACCTTGCTTTTTGCCCTTGTCTCTGAAGGCGTTGTCTATTCCCTTTCCCCAGAAAGCCTTTTCTCCCATAGCAAGCTGGGGCCTCCCCAGAGGAGGCGCTTAACAAACAAGTGTTTGCACATTTGCTTCAGAGGAAAAGTGTGAAGCCTTGGGGGTCCAGGTCTTCGCTCCTACAGACAAACACCCCAATTCCCTCCACTGTTTCCATGGAGCTTCCAGCCCTTCCACCACCCTGCCCACCTTCCATCTACTCCCGGGGAGAAGTCACATCTAACCCTGGATTTAGACTGAAGTTGGGGCTTTCACTCCAATTTCCCATGGTCCAGGTTATCCTGTAAAATTCCCCAAAGCAGGAACCCTGCTAGAGGATTGCCCATAGTAAGTCTGGGCTAGCGGGCTTTCCTCCCGGGACTGGGCTGGGACAGACCCCGTCCTGCAGCATTCGAATATGGGGAGGTGGGCTAGTGTCTAGGATCCACGTCCAAGGGGCGGACCAGATTCACGAACGCAACTGGGACTGAGGACCGCCCCATTTACCCGGTGACCGTCTCTCACTGGTGTTTTCCCCCATACGTAAGCGTGTTTGCGTAAGTTAGACTGCGCATGTGCGTGCATGTGCGCACTCATTGCCCTTTCTGCGCACTTGTCTGCATGGGTCTGCGCTGTGGGAGCTGCTCAGGCAAGAGCCCGAGCTGCTCAGTGACGCAGACATGGTTTTCTTATTCAGACTAACATGGGCTCCCTCTTCCCCAGCACCCACACTACTCTGGCAATCAAAAGAAACCATAGATATCTACCCAGAAAAATCTATGTAAAGGAACAATTTTGCAGACTGATTCAGGGGGCTCATGGACACTTCCTCATGGATCCTGGGGTGAGAAGGCCGCCTCTAAACCTATCACAACCCCAGCCCAATGATCCCAACCAGCACACAGCTCACCCCCATCTTCAGCTTTAGTTCGAACCGGCCCTCACTCCTGGAATGTTTGCCCTTCTATGCGATGTAACCTCCCAGGCTCCAGCCCACACATCATTCACTTCCCTGCCGCACTCTATTCACGACCTTAGGACTTAAGTCTACAACACCTCTGATGTCTCTGATAGATGACTAACTGTCCCACTCAGAAGACTTTAGTGCCCTTGCTGAGATGTAACCTCCTTGGCGGAGAACAAGGACAGCCACAGCCAGCTGTATCACGTGCCTGCGATGAATCGGGTATTTTCTCCTACCAGCAGGGCTGACTGCCTCCATTTTGCAGGTTTAAAAAAAAAAAAAAATGAGGCCGGGGAAGACAAGGAACCTGCCTAGCATCAAACTAGAATGAAAGCCCCCTAGGATGACTCAGGACTACAGTGAGTCAAGGGTCACCCATCCAGCCCATCAACTCTCCTGGACCTTGACTTACGGCTTGGAATACCAGCCTACTCTTTATCCTGGAAAAAGCTGCTTCCGTGGGAGTGGCCCGTCAGGGATGTTACCTTGGTGATGGATGGGAGAGCCTGAATCCAGTTCTGCTCCCCAAGTGCTCTGGGAGGACCAGTTCTCTTCCTCAGGTAGCGTTCGTGGACCTCACATGAGTTTAGGATATAGAGTGCACAGGCTAAGGCATAGCCTCCCCAATTGGAAACACCTAGAATAGAAGGAAGAGTCCATCATAGTATTAGACGGGTCATGGCTCTAGGCAGGAAAACTCTAAGCCAGTGACTCTCCAACAATGGTCCCTACACCAATGGCACCAGCATCACCTGGGAACTTGTTAGAACACAAATTCTAGAAGCTATAGCCCAAACTTTTGGAATCATAAACTTGGGGTGGGTAGGATTTGGGGGACAGTCTGAGTTTTCATAAGCCCTTCAGGTGATTCTGATAGAAACTGAAGTTTGAGGAGTATTGCTGTAAACTGCTGTAATGCACTGTTGAAGCCCATCAGAGAGAAAGGTTCAGGTTATAACTCTGAGGAACCCATTCCAGAACTCTCAACATTAAACGCTCAGAGCTTCTAGCCCAGTCCTCAGAGGGGTGGATAACAGTTCCATCATGCTGTGTGGAATCACCTTTTCATGTGCTGGAAAGTCAGGAACCTCTTCCTTTCCTCCCAGTCAGCCCCCAAGGACTTATTCCTCAGCTTTGAAACCATCCCACTTGCTCTTCTCTGAAGGCTCCTTCAGTTTACCTTTCAGGTCAAGGATGGATTCAGGACCGTAGCATAGTGGTTACAAATTAGGCTGTGAACCGCAAGGTTAGCAGTTCGAAACTACCAGCTGTTCCGCGGGAGAAAGATGAGGCTTTCTGCTCCTGTAAAGATTTACAGCCTCGGAAACCCTGTACAGGGTTGCTGTGAGTTGGAACCGACTCCACAGCACATAACCAACCAAGGTTCTGGAACTCCTTGTGTGGCGCTGTAGGATAAACATTGGGCTGCTAACTGTAGGGTTGGTAGTTTAAACCCACCACATGCTTTTTGGAAACCCTATGTAGGGTTTCTATGAGTCCAAACCAACTTGTCAGCACTTAACAACATTTTCTGGAACAATAATGGAAAGACAGGAATTGAAGGAGGCAATGGACCGTGTGGCTAATGGCTTCCATAACAGCACCTTCCCCTGCCATAAGACCAGAAGAACTGGACGGTGCCCAGCTACAATGACTGAACATTTTCATCAAAAATTCTGCAGAAGAATTCTGATCAAAAGGGTGGGGAGGGAGGCTATAGAATGGAATTTCAAAGTCCTGTGGAAACCCAACTTTCTAAGACTATTGAGGCTGGATGAAACCCTGAAATGATTGCCCTGAAGTAATCTTTCAACTTTCAACCAAAAGTATCTCCTTTGAATCAAACAATTTGCTGTTATTGTATGCTGCTGAGTGGATTCCAAATCAAAGTAACTCTATAGAACAAAGTCCAATGGCCCCATAGGATTTCCTAGGCTGTAATATTTATAAGGAGCTCTGGTAGCGTAGTGGTTACGAATCGGGCTGCGAACCTTAAGGTCAGTGGTTCGAAACTACCAGCTGCTCCGCAGGAGAAAGATGAGGCTTTCTACTCCCGTAAAGATTTACACCCTCGGAAACCCTGTACAGGGTCGCTATGGGTCGGAACCGACTCAAAGGCACTTAACAACAACAACAACAATATTTATATGAGAGGATATTGCAAAGTCTTTTCTCCCATGGAACCGCTGGTGGTGAATTTGAACCACCAATCTTTCGGTTAGTAACCAAGTGTTTAATAAATTGAAATTTCAGAACATCTGGTCTAGTGGGATGGCGGAGACCACCTTGTGACAGTTGAGGAAGGCAGGGTTTCTATCAGTCATGTTAAGATTAGCCAAGGGTTGATCTACGTTTCTCCCTCCTCTTCTCTTTACTGTACCTAGCTGCTTTGAGTGGTTTGCTTTTCCTGGAACCAAAATGGTCTCCCTGTGCATATAAAATAACTGCTCAGAATAACCCTTACTGTGCTCAGTGTCATTGCACTTTGATGATTTTTAACAATACAAAACTCTGTCTTTAAAATCCAGCAGCTCAGAACCTCTCCTGAAGGAGCCCCTTCTGATCTCTCCCAGCCCCAAATACTTGTACACAGATTCTCACCCAGTGTTCTGATCCCCCTGCCACCCACAGCAATCACCCTCTCTCTCGGGGATTCCTGATGTGATATTGTGGATAAAGCACTGGACTGCAAGGTCAGTTTGTACCACAAGGTTGGTGGTTCAAACTCACCAACCACTCCTTGGAAAACCTACACAGGGTCACTGTGAGTCAGAGCCAACTCAACAACACTTAATAATAACAACAACATCAGAGTAGAACTCCTGGTGTGGTGCTGTAGGATCGGCACTGGACTGTGAACCACAAAGTCAGTGGTTCAAACTCACCAGCTGCTCCTCAGAAACCCGACACAGGGTTGCTATGAGTCAGAACCAACTTGATAGCACTTACAACAACTATGTCAGAGTAGAACTGGTATGGTGGTGTAGGTAGCACTGGACAGTGAAACACAAGGTTGGTGGTTCAAACTCACCAGCTGCTTCTCAGAAACCCTATACAGGGTCACTATGAGTCAGAACCAACTCGATGGTACTTACAACAAAAACTGTGTCAGAGAGGCAGCTGACCAGGCTAAGCCAGAGTGCCAACCTGAGCTATAGGCTATTTTTAATCATTCAGTGGGAGGTAGCCTTTCGTAGGCGTCTGTCAATCTTCCAGAAATGTGTGGTGGGGCCAGAGGAGGAAGGGAGGGTCAGGAAGGACTGGTACACAGGGAAGGGGGAGAGGTCTTGATGGGGAAGGGCAGTGGGAAGGGGAGGGGGGAGAGAGCTAAGTGAAGGCGAGACAGAAAGGCTGAGGACCCTGTGAACATGGACTAGATGCCTCTCTTCCTGTCTCTGGGGAGGAGGGCTCATGACCACAGTTGAAATGGCTACTGTCGTCTGTCTAGCTCCCACCCACCTGTTCTCTTGTCCTATTTACAACCATCCGGTCATGCACTGTTACATGCGTATTACTCTTTACCACCAGGAAACTGTAAGCTCTGGGGAAGAGCAGGGACCATGCTGTTCCCTGCTTTCATCCAGTGTACACCATGTTGTTGCTGTCAGTGCTGGTGAGTCGGTTCTGACTCATAGTGACCCTGTTATGAGTCGCTGGTGGGTTTAAACCACCAACCTTGAGGTTCGCAGTCCAGTGCTCATCCTACAGCACTGTACCACACCATGGCACTCAAGACATGTTTGTTGAATGACTGAATGAGAGCAGGGTCACCTCCCTAGGCTGGTGCCCTGTAGAGGAGCTGGCTCTGCTCGCTGAGGACAAGCTTCCCTGGACCAGGGTCCAGACTGGGTCCTTCCCCTTGGGCAGGGTGTCACCCCGACTGGCACCATTGCACTTACCAGCAATGACAGCAAAGTCGGCCTCCACATCACAGGCGATGACAGTCCCATTTCGTATGTGCCTCTTCACGGCCTCCTTGACTTTGCCCATCCCAAGCTCGTTGCCTCCATCACCAATCCCTGTACAAAAGGGGAACTGAGTCAGGGTTAAATGACGGTTGTTTTAGGGCAATTCAGCATATCCCTCTGGGGTGTATGTTCGGAAAACCAGGTCACATGCTTTACTCTTAGATCTTCGGGAGACTCCTCTGCTTAAAAGGGAGGAGACACTTGGAACCCTAGAGGGTCACGGATGGAGATGGATCTCTGCTGATGATGGTGGCAGGCCCACCTGAGGAGTCAGTATGTGACACTCAGGACTGTCTGCCGAGTGGCACCTGCTCAGTGAAGGACTACAAAGTCCAGGGCCTGTTAGTGTGTCCAGTTGGCATCCCACCAACCAAGCAGGCTAGCATAGACTGTTAAGAGTCAGACTTCAGTTTAAGTCTCGGGAAGAGAAAAGTACTGTGTGATTCCACTTAGGTGGAATATCCACACAGAGACTGAGTGTAAATTAGAGGGGCTGGGAGAGGGAAGCCGAGGGAGTTACTGCTTAGTGGTGAGGAATGGAGGCTACCATTCTCATGAACTCCCGATTTCTGGATGTCGTGGATGTTGAGCTGACCTATCCAAGTTGTCACCTCAGATGATTTCTGAACCATGAACTTTGAGAAAACTGGTTTCCTCAAAGTCGCCTTTAAGTCAAACAATCAACCCAAACCAAACCAAATCCGTAACCATCAAGTCCATTCCAACTCCTAGTGACCTCGGGGGTTTCCAAGACTGTAATCTTTACAGAAGCAGACCGCCACATTTTTCTCCCAAGGAGTCGCTGGTGGATTTGAACCATCAACCTTTTGGTTAGCGGTAGAGTGCTTCCACACTGTACCACCAGGGCTCCTGAAGTCAACAGTGGTGTTGTCGAGTGCCGTCAAGTCAGTTCCACCTCATAGTGACCCTGCAGAGGGTTTCCGAGGCTCTAAATCTCCAGAGCAGAGAGCCTCATCTCTTTCCTGAGGAGTGGCTAGCGGGCTCGAACTGTGGACCTTGTGGTTCACAGTTGAGTTCCAAGTCAACAGTGGTCCAGCATAGTTAGTAAAAGGACATTTAGTCATGGAAATTTGTGTGCTTTTCAGTTCAATTCTGTGCCTTTTCCCATGGCAGCGTACTCATACAATCGCTGAATCTAAGAATGTTGGATTTTCTTCTGTGGAACACTTTTGACACTCTAGTTGGAAATGCTGCCCACTTTACAAAACATATATTAAATATTCTTTAATCAGTTTCTATGATTGGCTTAATCTTGGTGAATGGGTACAGAGCTCTGTTGGGTGATGACTCTGTTTTAGAAACTGAAGGTGGTGATGGTTGCACACATATGTTGCTGAACTTAAACACAGTTGTTGCTGTTGAGTGCCTTCGAGTCGGTTCCAACCCATAGCGACCCTGTATAGGGTTCCTAAGGAGTGGTTGGTGAGCTTGAACTGTCATCCCTGTGATTCAAACCAACTTTGCAGTCCAGCAAACTAACCCATGGTGCCACACCAGGACTCCAAAACATGGTTAGAATGGCCAGTTTTATGTTACCTACATTTTACTACAATAAATTAAATATTAATAATCATTATGGCCTAGCAGTCTTATGGGGGCAAGCCTACTGTGTCCTCTAGGGTCATTTAACAACAACACCATTGTTGACTTAAGGAGCCCTGGTGGTGCAGTGTTTGAGCATTCTACTGCTAATCAAAAGGTTGGTGGTTCAAACCCACCAACAGCTCCTCGGGAGAAAAATGTGACAGTCTGCTTCCATTAAAATTACACTCTTGGAAACCCCATAGGTCGCTAGGAATTGGAACCAACTTGATGGCAATGAGCTTGGTTTGGGTTGGGTTGACTGTTTGACCGAAAGGCGACTTTCAGGAAAAAGTTTCTCAAAGAACCCATTTGACAGCTGTGGGCTTTTGGGTTAATCTTTACAGAGGAGCCCAGGTAGTGCCATGGTTAAGAGCTAGGTTGAAAGGTGAGTGGTTTGAACCCACCACCCTCTCTTTGGGAGCAAGGTATGGCAGTCTGTTTCAGTAAAGACTCCAGCCTTCCCTTGGAATGCCTCATGGGGCAGTTTCAGTGCTAGTGAAACACCTGGGAGAGTATTCGCTACAGGTTAGTAAATAAGCACAAGAAAGCCCATCCCTGGTTCTACTCTGTCCTATTGTTTAGTGCTGTCAAGTCGGTTCTGACTCATAGCAACCCTATATAGGATTTCCAAGGAGTGGCTGGTGGATTTGAACCGCTGATCTTGCAGTTCAAATTGACCTTGTGGTTTGGTGCTTATCCTGTAGTGCCATGCCAGTACTCCACTCTGTCCTATAGTGTCCCTGTAAGTCTTGAATCAACTTGAAGGTAAGGGTTTTTGTTTGAACCCTCTGGATGGGTTCAAACTGCTGAGTGCTGAACCACTGTGCCACCCAGGATGTTAAGAAAGGTTGACTTCATTGTTGAAATGAGTGATCCTCAAGACAGGTGAACTGGAAAGATGAAAAAAAATTAGCAAGTTCCACAGTCTACTGTCTTTGAGGCGCCGTTCTAAGGCTGTTATTGTTAACTACTAGCCAGGTGGTTCCAACTCATAGTGACCCTTGTATAGTAGGGTTTCTGAGGAAGGTCTGGTCAGTTTCAACTGCTAACCTTGTGGTTCAAACTGACCATGTGGTCCAGTGCATGATCCTGCAGCCCCACACCAAGACCCTATTTGGTTGTGTCCAGGTATTTCTGGAGGATTCTGTAGACTAGAAGGTTAGCTTAATCCTGACTCTGGAAGATGATCGCAGCTGCCTCAAGGTAACTTATCATGCAAGATGCATCTCCGAGTGCTAAGAACAGACAGCGGAGCATCTCCAGCATACAGGGTGGGTGGGTGATTATTTTTTGGTGCTTGCTTGCTAGAAGAGTTTGGACTATGTGGAAAAATTCTATCTGGAGCTGACTTTCATTGTGACATCCAAGAGGTCTGAGCCATCTCCAGCATTAGAAACCTGGACTTGGCCAAAAGACTCAGGTCATAGCGCAACCTGAGGGTGTTCTCTGTTGCTCTTCAGAAAAGTCTCCTGAGTGAAGGTCAAGAGTAACACCATCCAGCGTTTGTGCTTTGGCTCTTTCTGTCTCTGTATTACTTTGCTTTCTTTTAGCATTCTACTAACTTCATCACGTGGCAATCCCGTCTGAAGCCTCTGAGATGGACGGCCCCTGAGCTGTAAGGTGGACACTTAGACCCAGGTGTCTTGAGTATTGCTTGAGTGTTACAACATGACATGGCAGCTGCTTGGACACTGAGCCAGAGGGTTTTTGATGGGGCAGCAAATGGAAATGAACATTCAAGGAGGGAGGCTTGGGTACCTGAAGTTAAGAGATGAGCCCAATGGTCTTCAAAGGGGTCAGTCTGAAGGTGCGAGAGGCCAGTCCCACCTGCTTGCTTCCTCCATGATCTGGGGGAACCACAATTGGGGTGGGGTGCACTCCAACAGCTTCTATGGTTCCTGATTGCCCCCCTAAGCACAGAGACCCCCTCCTTCTCCACCCTGGGCGCACATCCTCTCCTGCCTTGGGTCCTCCACTGGCAGCAGGGTAAGACCGGAAGTGTGAAGCCAACCATGTCTGATGTACCACACCCACTGCCTCTTCTGGGAAAGGCTAGGACAATTTGCAGGAATTTTCTAATGAGCCTGAAGCCTTTTATTGTCTACTTCAAACCTCAAAAGCCAAAGGAGACTAATGAGTCTGGGAAACAATGAAGCTGTTTGAATGGAGAAAACAAAAAACACAGAACAACAAACAAGCTGGAGAAGGCACACTGGCCCCCCTTGGGGATTACACTAAGCCTCTAGGAAATGCACAGTGGTGGCGTGATTGACAAGAGGCAGAATGGGTTAGGGCCCAGGAGTTGACCAGTTGCATTAAATTAGCTCGACAGCCTTGAAATGGATCCTTCCTGGGTCTCGCTTTTGAAGAGTCTACCTGCTTTGTTGCCTCACAGGTAATTCATGAGGCTTAAACAATACAGTGGATGTGAAAATGCCTTGTAGATGTCTAAGTTCTATACAAGCCACAAGTTATCACTGTTATTAGCAATAAAAATAGCACCCTAATCACACATGGAGACAGATTAACAAAAGGCATTAATGATGACATGTTCTTATCTGTGCGCTCGTCCCGTTTGTGCTTTTTACTTACCGGTTGATGAGATTCCGGGAATCTTCTGTGCTGTGAGGAAAAGGTCGTCAATGGGGTCAACCAAGTGCTTGATGTTCACCTTCCTGGCGTTGTAATAGTTGCCATCTGCGGCCCTGCCTGCGCGCTCTATGGCTACCAGATGGTCAAACCTGCAGGGAAGCAAGGGCCATGGGGTCCTGAGGGAGAGTGGCTACTTTGTTGGTGTCTTAGTTTTCTTGTTGTTGTTGTTAAGCATCATTGAGTCAGTTCCAACTCACAGCGACCTTGTTGTAGAGTTTCCAAGGAGTGGTTTGAACCACTGACTTTAATGTTAAAAGTTCAGTGCTTATCCTACAGTGCCACACCAGGACTCTAGTGCTGCCATAACAGAAATACCACAGGGGGATGGATGGCTTTCACAAACAGAAATTTATTTTCTCACAGTTTAGGAGGCCAGAGCTCCAAATTCAAATTCTAGGAAAAGACGTTTTTTGTCCCTACACCTTACACTAATCCTGTGTCTTTACTGTAAGACAAGGAATGCAGGTAGGATCAGCACTGGACTGAAACCCACCAGCTGCTCAGAGGGAGAAAGATGAGGCTTTCTGCTCCCATAAACATACACAGTCTCAGAAACCCTCTAGATGGGTCACTATGAGTCAGAATCAAATTGACGACAGAGGGTTTGACGGTTGTGATAACATAAAGCAACACATGCCTGAAAGGGATTATAACTGTAGGCAGAGGTTAAGATGACAACACCTACTTTGTTGTTGTTAGTGACCCTATACACAACAAAACGAAACATTATCTGGTCCTGCGTCATCCTCACAATTGGTGTTACACTTGAGCCCATTGCTGCTGCCATTGTGCCAGTCCATCTCATTGGAGGTCTTCCTCTCTTTTGTTGATCCTCAACTTTACCAAGCATGATGTCCTTCTCCAGGGATGATATGTACCTGCTGATGATATGTCTGAAGTATGAGAGATGAAGTCTCACCATCCTGGCTTCTAGGGAGAATTCTGACTATATCTCTTCCAACAGATTGGTTTGTTCCTCTGGCAGTCCATAGTACTTTTAATATTCTTCCTCCAATACTATATATAACTCAAACACAACAATTCCTTATTCACTGCCCAACTTTCACATGCATATGAGGCTACTGAAAATATCATGGATTGGGTTAGACGCACCTTAGTCTTCAAACTGGTATCTTGGCTCCTGAACACTTTAAAGAGGTCTTGTGCAGCAGATTTTTCCCAATGCAGTATGTCATTTGATATCCTGACTGCTGCTGTTATGAGTGTTGATTGTGGATCAAACAAAACGAAGTCCTTGGCAACATCAATTTTTTCTCCATTCATCATGTTGGTATTGGTTCAATTGTAAGGATTTTTATTTTCTTTACATTGAGGTGCAATCCATGCTGAAGGCTTCATTAATAAGTATTTGAAGTCCTCTTTACTTTCAGTAAGCAAGGTTGTGTCATGTGCATATCACTGTGGTGCCCCATCTAGAGCCCCTTTACCTCGCAGGAGTACCATCCCCCTTTGGCTGTGAGTGTTGTCTGCTAATGGTCCACGGCTACACCCTTCTAGGATCTTGTCCAGTCCGCAGATGTAAAACAGATTTAAAAGGATTTGAAAGAGAAGGCAAATTAATCCAACACAAGATGGACTTTTTGAGATAGAAAAGGGTATGGGTGGCACAGCTGTGATGATGTGGGCTGTAGAATCAAATCGTCTAGGTTTCACCATACTTCTTTAAGCTGTACGCTGAGGAAATACTCTGAGAAGTTGGACTATGTAAAGGAGAGCGTGGCATCAAGATTGGACGAAGATTCATTAGCTACTTACTCATCAACTGATGCAATCTTATTTTGGGGAAGCAAAGATGACATGAAATACTCATGAAAATCAAAGACTACGGCTTTCAGTATGGATTACACCTCAATATAAAGATAATGAAAATCTTCCCAACAGGACCGTTAAATACCATCATGATAAATGGAGAAAAGAAAAAAACAAAAGTCAAGCAAAGCTTGGCTCTACAGTCAACACTCATGGAAGCAGCAGTCAAGAAATCAAAGGACGGAGTTCTGGTTTGGGTGCCTGCAGAGACAGCCAGGTAGGAAAGGCTCTGTGGGGGAGGGATTGAAAATCCACAGAAGCTGCACTCACGGAATAACACCAGCGCTCCGGATCCACCAGGAGACACCCAGTAAGCTTAATAATGCAACAACAAACATCCATTTAAGCATTAAAAAACCCACATAACTACTGGAAATGACAAACAAACGATCTCAAACACAACAAACGATCACAAAACATGTCCAAAACCAGAAAAGAGTAACTGAGACAAATGCACTGGAGGCAGACAAAGACTCCTCATAAGAGGAAGAGCAGATTTTGGATTTGCCTGAGAAGGAATTCAGAAGAATGATATCGAAGCAAATTCAAGTGCTCCGAAAAGGGATGGAGGAAAACAAACAAGAAGTCAGGAAAGTACTACAAGAGCAATCAAAAAAGATTGATACAGCATTGGAAACAATTCAAAACCTGTATAAACTGGTCCAGATGATTAATAATAATATATCAGAAACGGACAATACACTGAAAGGGGAAAGGAGCAGAATAGATGAGATAGAAGCCAGAACTAGCAAGCTGGAAGACAAATCTCTCAATACTGCTAAGATAGAAGAGCAAGCAAAAAAAAGGATAAAAAAATCTGAAGAGAGTCTAAGATTCATTCTGGATAACATGAAGAGGAACAACTTAAGAATTATTTGGCATTCCGGAACAGGAAGAATCAGAGAAGTCCACATAGGAGATAGTTGAAGAGATTCTGGAAGAAAATTTCCTTAACATCTTAAAAGATGAGAAGATAAACATTCAAGAAGCCAAACGTACTCCAGGAAGGACAGACCCCAAAAGAAAGTCATCAAGACATATAATAATCCAGCTCTCCAAAATCAAAGACAAGGAGAGAATCCTAAATGTGGCCAGGGAGAAGAGACGTGTCAATTACAAAGGCAAGCAAATCATTAAGCTCTGACTATTCAGCACAAACCATGTAGGCAAGAAGGCAATGGGGAGGCACATACAAAACCCTGAAAGAAAAGAAAACTGCCAACCAAGAATCATCTATCCAGCAAAACTATCAATCAAAAACAATGTTGCAATCAAAACATTCCAGGATAAACAGAATTTAAGAGATTTTATCAAAACCAATCCAGCACTTCAAAACATCTTAAAGGGAGTTCTTTCGACTGAAAATCAACAAGAACAGACAACAATCAGAGATTGACAGGCATGGCAACACCACCTGGAATTCAGTCGACAGACAGCAGAGTTCAGAACAGAACAAAATTAAAACAATGAATTCAAAGGAGCTGAGAGGTCAACCGAAGATCAAAATAACATAAATGTCAAAGAAGGGATAAATATAGTAACAGAGATCCAGGTGGTGAGGATGTCAGGTAGAATACAGGATACAATAGATTCTCTTAAATGGAGAGAAAAGTTAATATACTATAAGGTAACCCCAAAGAAAGTTAATACTTCACAACTTGCCATGAAAATGAACTTCCAAACAGAAAAAGCAAACATGAATCCTAAGAAGAAACTGACAAGAAATAGCACAAAACCCACAAATTCAGCACAAGAAGGCATGCAGAACAAATGAATGAATAGTACTACCAAAAAATTAACATAATGGCAGCAATTCATACCTATCGATAATTACATTGAATGTCAATGGATTGAATGCACCAATGAAGAGACAGAGAGTGGCAGATTGGATAAGAAAACAAGACCCTTCAATATGTTGCCTGCAAGAGACACACCACCTTACACACAAAGACAAAAACAGAAAAAAATATACCAAGCTAACTGCAACAATAAAAAAGCATGAGTGGCAATTCTAATCTTTGATAAAGTAAACTTTAAGACAAAAACCAGCATAAGAGACAAAGAATGACACTATCACATGATCAAAGGGTAAATTGAGCAAGATAACATAACCATAATAAATATCTACATTTCCAATGAAAGAGCACAAGATATACGAAGCAAACCTTACTGGAATTGAAGAAAGAAATAGATAAATCTATAATTATAGTGGGAGATTTTAACACGCCACTTTCAAACAGGGGCAGAACAACCAGAAAGAAACTTGACAAAGCTACAGAGGAACTAAACAGCACAATCAACCAACTTCACCTCATAGACGTGTACAGAGCATTCAACCCAACAACAGCACAATATACTTTCTTCTCTAGTGCACATGGAACATTCTCCAGAATTGACCATGTGTTAGGTCACAAAGCAAGCCTCATTAAATTTACAAACATCAAAATACTACAGAGCATCTTTTCAGACCACAATGCTATAAAACTAGAAATCGGCAACAAGAAGACTAAGGAAGTAAAGTCAAATACATGGAAACTGAACAACACCCCGATGAAAAGCGACTGGGTAAAAGAATAAATTAAATGTGAATTCATAAAGTTCCTAAAAACAAATGAGAATGAAAACACACCATACAAAAATCTTTGGGACACTGTGAAAACGGTGCTGACAGGACAATTTATTGTGATAAATGCGCACATCCAAAAAGAAGAAAGAACCAAAATTAACACATTAACACAGCATCTCCAACAATTAGAAACTGACCAACAGAGGGAACCTACAGTCACTAAAAAAAAAGAAATAATAAAGACCAGAGCAAAATAAATGAGATGGAAAAACAGAAAAACTATAGAAAGAATCAACAGGACAAGAAGCTGGTTCTTTGAAAGGATTAATAAAATTGACAACCATTGTCAAACCTAACCAAAGAAAAGAGGGAGAAGACAGAAATAACTTGCATTAGAAACCACACGGACGATGTCACAATGGAACCAAACGGAATAAAAAAGGATAATAACAGAATACTATGAAGAGTGGTACTCTAACAAAATCTAAAACTTAGAAGAGATGGATACATTTTTAGAAAAACACGACCTACCAAAACTTACACAAAGTGAAGTAGAAAACTTGAACAGACCCGTAACAAAAGACAAAATTGATCATGTCATCAAAAAGCTCCCAACCAAAAGAAGTCCAGGCCCAGATGGCTTCACTGGTGAGTTCTACCAAACATTCAGGAAAGCGCTGTCACCAATTCTAC